AATTTTTTTTTCTTGGAATCCGATAATTAAATAGAACTACATAATATATTCTTTAAAACCAAACGCAAAGTATGTGTGATAACCGAAAACTAGGCCCGGAATTGCAATGTTGCCTAGGGCCCGCTTTAGTTTTAGTCCACCACTGTTAGACATCTATGGTCTAAGTACAAAATATAACTTAAAAGCATTGATTACAATTGACAATAGCGCCCTCTGCGTCACGAGAATAATATTGAAGTTGATTATTTAAGGACGCGCTATACGGTATATGTTATATATATATGATCATATGATCATTGACCAATGTTGATCATATGACAGATGCGATTTTGTAGGGGTGTGTAGATGTGAATTGTGTTTCGATTAGTTATATCAGAAATAAGTGTTTAATTTTGCTTTAAAATGGCAAGTCAAACTCAAGGAATACAACAATTATTAGCAGCGGAGAAAAGAGCCGCCGAAAAAGTAGCAGAAGCACGAAAACGTAAGAAAAATCGTTTTTTGTTGCTATACTTTTTACTTTAAAGTTTTTCATTTATATTAACAAGTCGTTTATCTTAGAAACAGTTTTCAGTGAATATAATAAATTATTGAATATTTATAAATGAATTCTTCAGAAATGCAATTAATATATACTAATGAACACAATATCGATGTGTATTTTATTTAATAGTAATATACTTGTTACCTGTTTTCAAACAATCTTATCTTTCTTCTTTTTATCACACTGCATTAATATATATTAATTTTTTAACAATAGGTAAAGCTAAACGGCTAAAGCAAGCTAAAGAAGAAGCTCAAGAAGAAATTGAGAAGTATCGTAAAGAAAGAGAACGTCAATTTCGAGAATTTGAAGCCAAACATATGGGATCTAGAGAAGATGTGGCAAGTAAGATCGATCAAGATACAAAACGCAGAATAGATGAAATGAATCGAACTATAGCAAGCCAAAAAGAACCTGTAAGTTTAGGTTTACCTAAAACCACCTACTTTCATTTGTTCACATATAATAGACATATTCTTTTGTTTTTTATGTCTTTTACTTAACTACCGAGTTATATAATTTTTAATTATAATTTTGGTTGCAGGTTATTCAAGAAATGTTACAGCTTGTGTATGATATCAAGCCAGAGATTCACAAGAACTACCGCATTTAAGCATTTATGAAGTACTTCAACTTACTATTTGTAGAATTGATATATTCAGATTGTTTGAAAATAATTTAGCATTCCATGTATTATTGTTGTTAAACATAATAAGAAAAAAATGTATTAAATAAAGGTTAGTAGGTGTTTGGATGTTAGGTCAACCTGTTGTTATGGCCTTTAATATGTAAATAATAATAAAAATAGTGCAAACAACAGATATATTTTGAGTGTTTAGTTCAAGTTAAACATGACACAAAATTTCAACGAGTTCATAACAAAAATAATTATAGTCGTGTAGCTAATTCATATTTTTATTTGAATAAGTTTTGCGGATTCCCCATGCATATCGAATATATCTCAATTAGGGTGTAACAGGTATCGTTCGACCACCAATGTGACGCGAAGAATTTGGAGTTCATTGTATAAGCACTAACTACATTGTGTCCCTATTTAGGGTTCTGTAAGCTTACCCCCTCCCCCATACCCATAATTTACTTTTAGATGCTTAAATTGCGCTAATCGTCTCTTTTATTATTAATTATTCGTTTTTAAACTTTTTACTTTTAATTAATCAATTAACATTCACTATCGTTTTTTTTTATTATAATTTACGGTTGTTTGATTACTGAAGCGCAAGCTTTATACGTATAACAACGTACTTTCATCAACTTTTATTTTTACTATTTTCTTTATATGAATCAACAAACGAAATAATAATGTAATTTAGGTTTAACAAACGATTTCCTATCGATTTAGTGTAATTAAATTGAAAAAATGATAAAATAAAACTTAATTGACAACTTCACATTTAATATTTAAATTGTTAATAACTAAAAAACTAAATCAACAAAAAATAAAATTTCATCAACAAATCGTCAACAATTGAATTACCTACAGCGATAAAATATAAAACAGAAATATATATTTGCCAACTTCACATAGCCCTGTCGAGAGATGAACGTGACATCACGAGTGATGGTTCGTTGTTAGCGGTAAAACTCGGTTTGATCGTCTGACTGACCATTTGTCATTTTTATCAGCAAAAGTGAGCCGTTAGCCACGGTTTTGTATTTACTTAGAAATGACATCAATTTAACATAAGCGCATAGTCGGGAGCGGAGAGACATTTACCATCTCGTCAATTTTTGACGAACATCTCTTAAAAAAAAAAGGAACTAACTCTTCCGACCTCTACGCCAACTATTTATGGGGGTTGGTCATGTTCTAGAATGATCCAGAATACGACGTATAAAATATCTGGTCTTTGTTACTATGTATGTTGGGTTACCTAAAACATGTGACAATATATACATAAACTGACTTTACTTTTGCACAAATAAATACGAGTTTCCTTCCTTTCATAGTCTAATTAAAATTAAACTATCTATGAATTAAACACTGTTAAATTAGTAACCCTACGTAAATTATAATCGAACACAACTATATATATGGAATAAGGGATTATATACGGTATACACTACCACCCATAGACAGTGTTTTGATCAATAACTAAGAAAATATTGTTTGGTCATACTTGGTAGAATTTTCCTTGTTTGAAATAGATCTATAATTGCATTAATTGTGTCAAGATTATAATTATCATTAGCGTAGCGTTGGTGGTTCGCTATTTTCATATATCTAGTGGAATGAGAAAGAATATTAAGAAGAATAATTGCGTCACTGTTCCATTACGTACGTGTCTGTAGCAGTACGAACTGTACTAAACAATGGTTTGCAGTAAAAAAATACGTAGGCGATGACAATAAAATAGGTAAAAACAAAAATAAAAATAAAATACCTATCTGTTCATTTTACGAATGCTCAAGGTATATTATTTTGAAATAACTCATAGGGCTGAAATTTGTTTTGTTAAAAAATTAAATACAAAATTTCTGTTCCATGCAGCTTTATTATGGAAAAAGGTAATTATTTTTTTCATTTAGTATATGTAGGTATAATTGTAGTATGCACGACCAGTACATGATTAAGTATATTGCTGCATGTAAAATTTTTAGATACCTTACATTAATAAATTATTTTGTCTAAATGCCGTAATATTGTCAAATTTATAATACGTTTAGGAGCTTAATTATTACTATTCAGTTGTAAAGCAAATATTGAAACATAATAAAATACAAATTTCTACTAAAAGCTTAAAGAACTTATCAATCAACTCATGATGACAGCTTATGTTGAAGTTCATGTTACATGTACTGCAAGACAAAAATAACGCATAAATTTGGTACCTGCAATTAGTATTAAAAAATTGAAAAAAGCGGCTAAAGAACATGCAACATGTAATTAGTAACTAGGCAAACAAAAGGTATATATTGAGAATGAATAGATATAAAAGCACACAACAGTCAACATCAACCAGGTACTAGTAGTAAAAATTCATATTGAAACAGATATGTAGCAATCAATAGCAATAACAGTCTTAATTACAATTAATTCATCATCTTAAGGTCTTCTGCCTGAAAACTGAAAGGGTATATACCTTCACTTGTTCCATAGAGATAATACAGTTAGATTAGGCAAGTCCTATTAGTCCCTGTAAGTTACTGTGAGCCATGAGATAAAAAATGGTGGGATCCTGTGTCTCTCTGACTTTATTTAACGGTTTTTGATTGACCATCAAGTTTTTTTCGTTTCTTTTAAGACAGCATATTTCCGCGGGAAAAAGCTAGTTTCCTGTAATCATAACGGTACTCCAATTCTATTATCTATGCAATCTTTGCAATTCTAGAAAACTAGAGCAACTTTCGTTTGTTTGTATAAAAATATTCCAATCTAAGTATACCTCATATCTCAGAAGGTCCTACCAACTTACCTCCCCTATGGCTGTGTGAAGTTGGCAAATTAAAATTTGTTTATTACATTTTTTCGATGTTATTTGATTTCTGACGATTTATTAATCATTGATTATGCAATTTCAGTATTTGTTGATAATCAAGTTTTTAGTAATGGGCTTGTTCCGTTGGTTTTAACTAGGTTGCCTCTGTTAACATATCACAAGTTGATACATTTATGATTATTGCCTATTTTAATAATAATAAAGAATACCCACAGGAATGAATTGAATAAAGCGGCAGTGATACCTACGTTATTAGTTTAATAACTAATTATTTATTAATAATGGTAGTGCATATTAAATAATTTCAATTCTACTTAAATCTAGCATAAATAACAATAAAATATTCCTGTTTAATTATGACTATTTGAATGTATTAATACTATATATTTTACTCCTGTTAATCTATCAAATGAGCAAAAAAAGGAATGGTATAAAAAGGAAAAGTCATTGGTCTTATTTCAAAATAAAAAAGTTGGAAGTTCTTATTGCTTATTTTTGAATACAAACTTTGATCTTTATTATAAAAAGGTATAAGGTAAGGGATCGATAGTAAGAATTATTATTTTGCCTTTTATTCTTATTTAGTTTTCTCTAAAAAAATCCAATCGACTTATGACTAATGACAATACCTATTTTATAAAATATTGTCTAAAATAAGTTCTGTACGTGGGCACGTCTTGTGTATTATACATGTGGGTGACATTACAGCAACTGGAATTACTTTGTAAACTAAAGACTAAAATTAGGTATATCGGAAAACAAATTAAAAGAAAAAATTATAATGCACTATCAATACTTCTAAAAAAACGCTCACAACCAAAAATTCAGCTTTTTTTTTGGTATTCGAAAACGTTTTTATTTAATTCTCCCCCTTTTTAAGATTTTCATATAAAGATAGTCCTCTTTAACTTATATTTAAAACAAAAACCTTATAAAATTTCTTGGTTTTCACAGATAAAGTCGTATCCCTGTTTGGCATGTTGCCGTGCCATTCTCTTTAGCTTTTAGTCGGATGGCAAATAAATAATTCATTTATCCGAAGCATGTGTTTTTATTTTGTTCTTTATATTCTGAAATTATACAATACTAACAAGCACTTTTTGATGCCATATAGAATTAAACTGTGTATACTTACAAAGAATACTCCGTAAATTCAGTTTGTAACATGCTTGTAACGACTAATAAGCAGCATTGAGTCTATGCGTATAATGACGTAGAAGAGGCACTTTGTTATTGTTTTTAAGATTCTAAACGTGCGAATAAAATTTGATTTTATGCAGATCTCTAATTTTTCACTTGCACTTTCGATTAATGAATTAATAAAGAATTAGTAATTTAAATGTTGAGCGCGAAGTTGACAAATAAATTATTTTCGATTACACAGTGTGTCAATTTTCCTGGAGGCAACCTAACTTCACTTTTGCATATGGAATGCTCCATTTATTATTGCATTTTTGGATTCCTCGTTAAATTTGAATAACAATTTGTTAAGCATATGTTGTCTAAAATACATCAATCTCCATAAAATTCGCACTAAATCAATAAACAGGCTGTTGCAGTGCTCTGGACCATTTTGAACATCTCCGAAACTAGAAAACGTATGAAGTGCTACCTTTATAGGCAGCTTCTGAAAGAAATGACCTACTATTAACGCAAACATGTTCTTTTTAAATTCATTGAAATTTACCACATCCAAAACAAACTATTTCGAATTAGCATAACTATTTTTTTTTAAATAGAATGCCATATTTTTGGCGTGCTCATCATGTGCAAAATTTAATTTTCTTTCGTCCAATATAGGGTTGTTACTATATACAGCTAATACTTTTTGAGAAAATTAAACTCTTTCAAACATTCAGTGTCTATTATCGTGGCTTCTTGAGCGCTTCTGTACTTTAGGAGGACAAGCTGTTTGCCTTAGATGAGTTGTAATCTTTATCCAGGACAATTACTTGAGCACCTTATAAAGGTAACGGGCCCATCTAAAAAAATCAGCCGAAGATGATTATTAAGAAAAGTCTGGATAACTCAAAATTTCATCCCAAGAGTGCCTTCAACCACTTAATTTAAATTTTCCCTAACAGGGTCATTATACGTTATTAAAATCAAAAATATAATACACAGAAAAGACATTGAAATTTAAGTTAAATATTTGAGACTGAATAATAAAATAGATAAAATTATCAAGTTTTGTTATATATAACTGATTCCTTGTTTTGTTAAATGTTTAAAGTAAACTCAACTAATAATGCATAAGTTACTTGATAAAATGAGCAATATCACAATACAAAAAACTCAATTGATGATTAAGCAAAAACATAAATGGTTTAGAGGGGAAAAACAGGAAACGGTAACTTTTTTTTTTTGATATCACATCTACTCAATCCACGTTTCTCTCAACAAAAATCAGGTACTAAAAAATCTTTAGCATTGACTAACACTAAAGTGGATTTAAAATATTTAGCAGCTGTTATGAAATAATTTTTACTTTTAAGATATTATGAAGTGATACAAAAAATTTTTTTCCATGCAAAATAGATACAAATAAATTATTTAAATTGTGTAATGGCACGCGATAATTATCTGTTTAAGAGCGATCTTTCGTTGATATTAAATTTTGCCGAGTTCTTTAATAAAGTTATGGTATGGAATTGTTTGCGCAGAGATCACAAAACTAATTTCAAGGACCAAGTGACGCAAAAATTTAAGAACCAATCAATTACACAGACAATTAATTGAAAGCTAATAAACACAAATAATCCAACAAACCTAATATAAAAGTAACGCTAGTTTTCGTAGAAAAAGAACGTCACAACCAGAAGTGAAGACGATTTGCTAATTGCGTTTTGTTTAATGACATTTCCACTCTTCCAAAACATTTTATTATTTGCTGAGTTAAAAACTTTTAGAAATGATAAATTCTAATATAAACTGATATCTATCGATCAAATTTTTTTTACGAGTAAAAATTACTTAAAATTTATTGAATAAAATTTCATTATAAAATTCTCAAAAAGCAAAGAGATGCAGACACTATTATAAACCATCACTAATTACTTCCTTAAAAATATTAATACAATTCTAGAATCCTAGGAGTGCTCTTATTCATTTTGTTAGTAATAATACCTTGAAAGTGCTCCTCTTCATTCTCCGTAAATCAATGAAACTTACAAATACTAATGCCTGAAAAACATTATCTCAAACATACGTCAAATCGGTCATGTTATATGCATCCGTATTATGATGAACTTATCGTCAGTCAGTTTCAATCACACTTGAACGAACACAACATAGATTTATTAGATGTAACAGGTCAATTGAAAAGTCCCCGGCCTAAAATAGTAAAACACATTTTTTTTGCAAAATTCGTTTTTTTTATTCAACATAATTCCCTTCAAGGGTGATACACTGATTATAGCGATCCTCCAACTTTTCGATACCATTTTTGTAGTACGATTTGTCCTTTGCTTCAAAATAGGCCTCAGTTTCGGC